AAATATTGTAACAGCTTGGTATGGTGATAGCTGGTACCTAGAATTATCATGTATGTAAATGTTGAATCACTGTGTTGTACACCTGAAACTAATGTAATACTGTGTGTCAACTACCCTTCAATAAAAAATAATTATCTACAAAAAAAAAAAAAGAATACAGTTTGCTTATCCTCGATTCACTTAACCAATACTTTCAGTGTCCCAGAACACCAATTTCTGGTGCAAATAAGAAAGGCTGTGGTGTAGACAACACAGATGTCACTAAATGATGTGTGCATTTAAGATTATGCACGATGCTCATAGGAGAGCCCTTTAGATCTTTAAGTCTCTCAGCCCTTGTTTTAGGAATGGTTTTGATCAGCATGACTAGTCAACTCCCCACTTTTTTACTACCTGCCATTTTATCACAACCTATATACCAATGACTCCTGGACCACTGAACATTCACTATTTCCTGAAATGTAATATTTTGGGGGCTGAAAGGGGCTTCAGAGATGATCCTGGTATTATCACTTTTTATAGATTACTGGCAGGATCAGGGTGCAGTTCCTAACCTTAGAACTTCTCTCTTCTTTCTCTTTGCTTTCTGAGCATGTCTTTCTTTTGCAGGATGAAAATCCATTTAGGGAAACAAGAGGAGAGCAATAAATTACCTTATGTGAGTAAGACTGGAAAGTGGGCAATAAGACTAACATTTATTGAGCAGCAACTGTGTGCAGTAGGAGTCCCTTCCACACAGTCTATTTGCTTGTTTCCACAACTTTTACACATACTTACCTCACTGAATCTTTGCAATGATCCTGTGAGGCGAAGCTTTAATTATTGCATATAATGTGGCTGATAAATGGCTGATAAATGGCAGAACCAGGACTTGAACTTGGCTCAGCCAGACCCAGAGAGGGCATTTTAATTACTACTGCCTTGTGTATGGTGTGGAAAGTGTCCAAGGGAAAGCAGCAGGTGACAATCAGTCCAGGCCATGGTGCACAAGCCCACACTGAGATGCAGGAAAAGCTCCGCTGCCCGTGGGAATGCACAAATGCTGGTGGCAGGGCAGGCAGGGCGCCTGAACAGAGCAGGGGCGGAGCAGGCTGGGAAAAGGGAGGGGAACGAATCCCACAGAGACCCTGACACCTACCGAGGAGTGGGGCCCTGACCCTTCTGGTGTCTGGAGGCCAATGTGTGTCTGGCATAGGCACAGGACCTGCTAAGATTTACATTTTAGAGAAAAACACCCTCTGGTGGGATATTAATGGTGCTTTTTACTACTTTTTGCTTTTATCAATTTTTCTTTTTCCCCCTCAATCAAGGATCATGCAGTCCCATAATAATCAGGAAAAACAAAAACAAAAATATAATTACCCTCCAGATGGAGGGGATGATGAACTTTAGGAGAGCCAGTGGTAAATGGGGTGGGTACAGCAGGGCCTGGGTCCTGGAGTCCCAGAACGTCATGTCTCTGTTTAGAAGATGTGAGACTGGCACTAGCAGATTTGGGAATCTCAGCCCTGTAAGTCTGCAGTGTTACCTTACCTTCCACCCTGATGTCCAGGAAGTGATAAATGTGTCTCCTGGCTATCGCCTCACTCGGAATAGGAAGCAGAATTCTGTCACCTTGGGAGATGAGATGTTTGTCAGGAAAAAGCCAGAATCAGAGATCATGGACAAAGTCAAAATTTCCAGGTAATGTCTTTGGACCAACATCTAGCTCCTCAGAGCTATCCCTGCCCACTGAAGCCATGCCTTGCAGACATGCCCCTCACTTCCACACCTGGTCCACAGGGTCTCTGCAGGTTCACTTCACTCCTCAGACCTATGCCTACTGTCTCCACATGCACTGCTCTGCTCTGATCCAATTTGAATCAGGATGAAGGTCAAGTCAGGCAGCTGACCTTGAAAATGATTAGGTGTGCTGTAATTGATGCTAAAAGAGAACAGTCCTTCCTGGAAGCAATGAACAGACGAAACATTCATAAAAGATCATTTGAAGGGTGAGAATTAAGAATAAAGTCAGGGTCTCCAGGAGGCCCCAGTGTACACTTCTTTTTCATTATGTCCAAAGATACCACTCATTTCATGCCTCTGGGAAATGCAGCGTGGAAGGTTCTGGCCTGATTGCATCCCAGTGGGCACACTACCATCCTACTCTCTATCCTCTGATGCCATGTAAAGTCAGCCGCCTCATTCTTTCCATTCTAGCTCCTAAAGCTCTCACTCCTGTCTTCCCCTACCCCATCTCCTATATCCTCTCTCATTTTCTCATGAATCAAGGACCTGGTCTCTGCTGCATTACACACGGCACCGCCTGCCTCCCTGCCTCGGCCACCTCAACCACAGAGGGCTGAATCATCTTACAGCCATGGTGGAGGCCCCAAGCCCAGAAACAGAAAACTATTATCTATTCTGAAAGCCACACTTTCAAACTCCTCTTCATCCTGTCTCTTGCCTATTCCTTTTTTATGACTCACTGTCTGCATCGACCCCATTCCCTCCCCTCCTCATCTCCTAGTCCTCTGAACTTCTCCCCCTTCCATTGGAACTATCATTACCAATTAAGGCCAACCCCTAGTAGATTTTTGACATATTCCTCATTCCCTTCTAGTCGGTAGGTCACCAAAATGCCCCTCCCCACTTCAGGCTAATTTACCCAAAAGGGCTGTTTCTGAGGCTCAACCACCTTACTGCCAAATTCCTTCACCCAGACCACCCTTAACCCCTCCACCCCTGCCCCCATGATGATGGAGCAAGTGCAGAACCTGGCCCAGTTCTCTCCAGGCCAGAGCCAGTCCTGCACAGGGAGGGGTCTGACTGGCACAGAATGAAAGCTCTTTGGATGACAGAAGGCTTGATTACTTGTCCTGTAGGACTGATATCATTACTGACCTAGAAGAGCAGATCTCAGAGCTGGCAGTGATAATAGAGCAAATGAACAGAGACCACCAGGCTGCTCAAAAACTGGTGAGTGATCCTTGAGTTCGCCTACATCTCTGTGGGCAGGTGAAAGAACAGTGTTTTCAGATGATTGGCTATTTTCTAGGCAAGATGCCAAGGACTTTCCTTGTGGGAGCCATGCTGTCCAGGTGACATCTCTGAAGATAGGACTGTGGTCACCCAGTAGTATTTCTCTGATTCCATCCTCATCCATAATTGCAAGAACTCAAGTCCCTTTCCAAGGCCTAATTCAATTTCCATGAATTCTCCTGCAGCCTCCAACATGTTCAATGACACTGTCTTCTCCACACCAGGGGGCGCCAGCCGTTTCCCCCTGGGCCTGCCATGGCCTTTGCCGCAGGGTGGCTTCCAAGGTTGCTGGGACAGCTCCCACTCACGGCTTAGCACAGTCACTGCTCAAGAGCTGCCCGGAAGCCTCCAGGGCTCACTTCCTGCTGCTGTTCAGGCTGCCAAAGCCCTCTCTTGAGAGTCTGCTGACGTCAGTTTGCATTCTCTCTGTTTGCTGTGGGTTTTGGTGACACCCCTTTGGATTTTACCATCTGGTCTATAGCTGTCTCCTCTTCCCCATCTCCAAGCAGGGCTGCCTGGTGGCCTGGGCTGGAGTAATAAACCAGACAAGGCTCAGAAACATCCTCCCGCACTGCACCCCCACTAGCCTGGTGTTACTGAAACCCTCTGGTGAAGACTGACTTCCCAACCTCTGGTATGCACCAGATGGTCTGAATCCTACAGCGACCCAGCTATGACTCAGGCTGAGACCACTCCCCTAGTATTGAGTCATTACTGTTTTTATCTGAAAACCTGCCAGTTTTCTACAGAAAGGAAATTGAGGCTCAGGAAGTGAACAATTTGCATAAGATCACTTACTTGTTAGTGGAGGGTTATAGGGCAAAATGCACATTTTCACTGGCTGAAGCCTCGGACCTGCTAATTACGTATTTAGAGATTATTTCTGTGGAGGGACCTCAGATGGTGATCCTTAAATTTCTCCCACCTGTGAATCCCCAACCTGTGTAACCCTATGGAAGGGAAGAGTGCTGGCTGCCACTGTGTCTCAGAGTGGGACAAGGACAAGCCCTGAGCCCTTGTCACAGCTGGCAGTGGGTGCTGGCTGATTTGGGAGTGTCCATTCCTCCTGAGACAGTGGCCAGAAAATCTGATGTGTTAGAATGGAGGGTCACCTGGAAGTGAGCAAATTCTGCCTGTCAGAACACGTCCATTCCACAATGAGGGTTTATTGACACTGGACTTAAGGTCATTGAAGGCAGAGTCTGCGTCTTAAACCTCTTTAGCTCTTCTAGGCCAAGTTCTTTGCTCAATAAATTATGGCTCAATTGAATTACATGCAAGAATCCAAAAACTACGATCTTACAGAGAAATTACAGCCTAGCAGAAGGGACCAGATCTGCCCACAAAACTAGTTAGTCAAAGAGATGGTTTCTATGCACCAGTATTATGAACTGATTATGTACCAAACAATACAGAGGAGAGCAAGAATAGTTCTGTCCCCTCAGTGCTGTGCTCTCTGGCACTGCAGAACACGAATGGGAGAGGCCGGAGTGGGGAGTGGGGCATCCCCTGTGAATGGGAAGGCTGCTCAGAGGTTGCCCTGGAGTGGGAGTAGGGTCCTCAATCCCGTATTGTTAATGCTGGCCTCCTTCCCAGCTCTCCAATGAAATGGATCTCCGCTGTGCTGAAATGCAACAGAACTTTGAAAACAAGAACAGGTATGCTTTCTGGCACAAGCCCTTGTGTGCTGTGGCCCTAAAGCTTCTGCAGCCCTGCAGGATTTCAGTTCACCGCGATTTCAGACAATGCCTAACCGAGCTGGGTGGCAAGGGGTGGGGGAGATGAGACACACATGTCTTTGGAGAGCAGGATGGTTAGATTTGAGGCTACTAAAATGTAGCACAGAGAAGGTTATTCCTGGTTTGGCACTTTCTCATCCAATTATTTCATTTCGGTTATAATCTCCTGTTGGTCGCTGAGGGAGCTCTCTATGACAGTTTCGTGGTAAACAACTTCATTCTCTGCCCAGTCTCCTCCTCTTCCTCCTCCTTTTCCTCTCAACCCACCCTCTCTGGCTGCCAGTCCAGGGCATGGGCAAAATGGGAAGAAGGCATGGGAGGGGCAAGGCCCGAGCCACAGAGACTAACCCAGGGGAGGGGAGGGGAGGTGCGCTGTCTGCGCGGGGGAGGAGATCTGCAGGGCTCCGTCCAGGCCGCCTGCTGGGCCCGGGCGTAGCCTCAGGGGTCCTTATGGAGAGAAGCCCTCCTATATGAGTCATCTACTTTATTTTTTTTTATTAAGGTATCATTGATATACACTCGTACGAAGGTTTCCCAAGAAGACCATTGTGGTTACTACATTTACCCTTATTATCGAGTCCCCCGACACACCCCATTGCAGTCACTGCCCATCAGTGTAGTAAGATGCCACAGAGTCATGACTTGTCTTCACTGTGCTACAATGTCTTCCTCATGATCCCCCCCCACACCACATGCACCAATCATGATACCCCACAATCCCCTTCCTCCTCCCTCCCCACCTACCCGCCCTCCACCCCTTCCCTTTGGTAACTACTAGTCCCTTCTTGGACTCTGTGAGTGTGCTGCTATTTTGTTCCTTCAGTTTTGCTTCATTATTATGTAATTCATCTACTTTTAAGTAAAAAAATTTTTTTAATTTATTAACTTACTTATTTTAGAAGACTTTATTTTTTAGAGCAGTTTTAGGTTCACAGTAACATAGAGCATAAAATATGTATATTTCCAATATACCCCTTGACCCCACACCCACACAACCTACTTCATTGCTGATACTCTGCACCACCATGGTGTGTTTGTTACAATCAATGAACCTACATGGACATGTCATGAGCATGCAAAGTCCATAGTTTACACGAGGGTTCACTCTTGAGGTTATATGTTCTCTGAGTTTTGACAAATGTATAACTTGTATCTGCCATTATAGTATCATACAGAATAGTTTTATTGTTCTAAAAATCCTTTGTGCTCTGCCTATTCATCCCTCCCTCTTCCTTAATCCCCAGCAACCACTGATCTTTAACTGTCTTCATAGCTGTGCCTTTTCTAGAACATCATATGGTTAGAATCGCTCCAGTTGGTAGCTTTTTTGGATTGGTTTCATTCACTTACTAATATGCATTGAACTCTCCTCCATATCTTTACTTGGCTTGACAGCTCATATAGCCTTTCATTTGAACACTCATCTTGAACCCTGGCAAGCATCTGCCTTCTGGAATCTGCTGGATAGACCCTGGGCTCTAAAATCATCCTGGGTGCTAACACAGCCCAGTCTCCCAGGAAAGCAGCAAGCAGTCTGTGCTGTTGAGTCTGTGGTCCCCACCAGCTCCATTCAAAATAGTGGTTGGGAAAGACAGGGGTCGTCACCCTTTTTTGGATGGATGTCGGGAGAATGCGTCAGGAAGTGAGCGCCCTGCACCCTGCCCACCAGGTTCCTGTGTGAGTGGGGAGAGGTGGGTCAGGTGAGCATGACAGCTCAGCTCGGGCCTTCCTTTCACTGATGCTGGTGGCATTCATCTGGGGCCCCACAGGGAGCTCAAAGAGGCTCATGCAGCAGAGCTCAGTGAGTTGGAGAACAACTACAAAGCAGCCTTGAAGGCAGAGAAGTTTGCTTCCCAGAAAAAACTAGGTAAGGTCTGGGCCTGGAGAATGCCCCTGGTGAAGGGACGAGAGGCTGACCCTGTGGGCCTAGGGCCAGGGAACCCCACGGCCGTGGGTGGGCAACGGTCAGGTTTTCAAGGTTTCCTCCTAAATATCAGGGACAGCATGTGATTGAAAATGAAACTAAAGAGAGGGGAACCATGTCCACCCATGTCCTTCCTCCGCCTCGAAGACAGAAGGGCCTGTGACCAAGTTTTGGGATCTGAGCAAGTCCTTTAATGTTGTAGAGTCTCAGTTTCCACATCTGGGAAATGAGGACAACAAAACCTGCCTTTATCAAAGCAGTAAGAACATGAAAGCACTCTTTAAAGTATATTTAAAATTTCTACAGATATATGCTATTGCAATTCAGCAGGTTTCCTCACGGTAAGATGGTGGTGGTGTTTCAAGTGTGTATCCTTCAGATTCTGAGGTTATAGACTAATCTCCAAAAGGATAAGGAGAAATCCTATAACCTTCTCCCTTTCTTTGCTTTCTGTGTTTAAAAGAAGGTATTTATACCTTGCTGATTTTCCAGTTTTCTAAAGGGAACATGATTCACCATCTAGGGGATGCATTTGCGGTGGGGAAGGTGTGCAGTAAAGCTCACATTTGAGTTTGAAAACATGCATATCATATATGTGAATATATGATGACTGTGTTGTTTTCCTTTTGTCCAGAGGAGATGGACAGGGAATATAAGTATCTGAAGATTATGTTTCATATGTACCAGGTGAGACTCAGAGCTCCTGGGTAGATTATGGGAGTAAGGGAAGCAAGACTCATTCCTGACTGGTGACACTGGGATGAATCTAGAGCTCTTGCCCAGAAACTAATTCCCTGAGATTCCTGCCATCTTTGGACCCACATGCACCTGGGGAGAAAAGTGGCCTGCACACCATGAGGGTACCTACGTGTCACAAGTCAGTCCCCCAGATCCTAAAGAAACCCATTGAAAAATGTGGTTGTGATTACAAAAGTAATACTCGCTCATCAGTTTTTTACAAAATGGAAGTACAAAAAACAATTAACAAAAAAAAAAATGTCACCACCTCAAGACAACCAACTATTAATATTTGCACTTGGCAACATCTTTGATTTTAGTAGAGTGGCAGGTCAAAAGCAATAAACATTTTAAAGGCCTTTGATGCATTTGGCCACACTGCTATCCAAAAAGACTTACATTTGCTCTGCACTCCCATAGGCAGAGCATGGGCATGTCCTAGCAATCTCAAAACATCACCCCCTCATGTAATCAGCTAACCCGATGAAGGCCCAAGGAAACAGGGTTAGGGCATGGTTTCATCCCAGGGGGGTGAGAGAGTGGACAATGGAAAGTGGACAGGGGACAGGCTAAGACACACCTCCCCTAGTGACCAACTAGTTCAGGTTTGCACCAAAAGTCCAGAGTCCCAGGAAACAACTTAGTCCCAGGCTGGGTCACCCTGTCAAAGGAGAAAACCAAGTTAAGCATTACCTCTGCAATTCTATTTACCACTCACAGTTTCAGTTTTGAGCTTGTATCCAAAACTCATTTTCAAGATCTTCCTTGGTATAGCCAGGGAGAACACCGCAGAGCCTAAGAGAAATGTCAAGTTGACTAGCAGGTAGGCTGTCCCTAGGTACTTCCTAGGTAGGCTTTGTGCTTGCTTCAGTCGGGGCCTCTTAAGGAGTTTGCCTCTGGAGACTGAGCTGCCCACCAGTCTTGAAAATGATAAGAGAACCTCTATCCACATGACCAAAAATAATTACAAATGATCTCTGACCCCAGGCCCCATGTGATTCCTGCTGCTATTCTGAAAAGGAAGGAGGTCAGGGTCCTGGGACCCTATTGGCAGCATCCAGCTTCCGGGCCTCCCCCTTCCCGAGGCCCGACTCCCACGAAGTCTGAGCCAACCAACAGGACAGGCATTGGGTCAGGCTTATCGAACCTCAACCACAGATTTGCTGAGAAACCACAGATTTGCTGAAGAAAAATGGACACTCTGTGAAAAACATCCCATTGTGTTCTAAGTGTTCAAACTAACTACTAGGCATTTCCCTTGTTTCTTCATGTGCTATTGATGAGCAGTTTCTGATTTAGGGGGAGATGACATGGGAATTTTCCACCTGGGGAACCCTACCTATCTTCAAAGGAAGCCCAGTTCCAGTGAGGCAGACACTGTGTAGGGTTGGCTTTGACTTGAAGGGTTCTGCAGGCTCTTGGCTGGGCTGGGCTGGAGTCACTCCCCCCAGTCACCCATTTAGGGCCCCCAGCAGAGGCCCCAGTGAGGGAAGCTGCAGAGGGCCCAACGCTGGCTGTGCCTTGGGCCGGTGTCCAGCCTTTCAGGACCGTCCTCTTCATGGTGCCCTGGTGCCTCCACAGGACAGCATTTATGAAGAAATGGAAGATAAGTGGTCAAAGAAGAGGGCAGAATGGGAGAAGGATGAGAAGTCGGAGCAGGAAAAGATCTTACTACAGCAAAGTGAGTACTGAAACTTCTGACTTTTGGATGACAGGTGCACCAGGAAAGTGCCACTGAGCTTGGCCTCGGCTTGAGGAAGATAGCCTTGGATTCACTGAGGGCGATGGGACACATGGCTTTATATTCCTTAATAGAAGGTACCCGGAGTCTGCAAGGGAGTGACAGCAAGGGTAGAGTCTCTGCAAAGCTCAGCCACCTGAGGGTCTAAGCTTGTCCCTCCCAAAACTCACTGGTTCCAAATTTGGCCATCATGGGCTGGAACAAGCTTTGGGACATCTGTAGGACTATAGGCATGTTATCTGAATACAGATGAACCTAAAGTTCCAGAAAAAAATTCTTGAATTAGAATTTCAGATATTCAATTGCTGGGGGAGGGGCAAAAGAATCCATTATAACGAGAGCTTCTGTATTCCCACATCCCCCCTCAAGGAAGCCATGTTTGATATATATATATGTTTTTAATTGATATATATTCAACATATTGTATAAGTTTAAAGTGTGCAACATGTTGGTTTGATACATTTGTATGTTGTTATGTATTGTTAGTTGTTCCCACACTCAACAGAGGGTTTGGATCATACAAAGTGCTCTGTGGGTGAGCCTCCAGTCCCCCACGGAGATTCCTCATTCCGTGGAAAAAGGAGAGAGGAATTTACGGAGCCTCGGCTCCCTGACCTAGAAGATGTGTGGAGGTACTGGGGCCTCTGCAAACCTCTTCCACATCCCATCCCAACCCAATTCATATCAGCTTTAGTTGTTTTAACAACTTTACTTGATTTTACTTTACATCCATCAGTTTAAAAAATTACTCATTTAAATGGAGGTACTCCCTGGGAAATTAATCCTCAAGGCCATTCCCACCCTGGTGGGGACTCTGAACTGCTAGAAGGCAGCGTGCAGACCCTGGAGCTGACGCTGAGGAAAGGCGGGTGGAGCTGCTCCTGTGTGAGGTGTTACCTGGCACGCTGGTGTAGCATAACCCAGGTCATCTCCCAGACTTCTAGCTACTTACACTATACTCAGCCCACATTGTCAAAATCTAAGTTCAGATGTTACAACCAGTTTTGAAAGAGCAGACTGTAGTGTTCATAGTGTAGCTCAATCCAGACTGACCCTGTGAGCCCAGGGTTGGCCTCCCTTGCCGTCTCCACCATACGTTGAAGAAGGAATTCGGGTTACTCCCTACCCCTCCTTCCTCCTATTTCATATCAGGCTCTGCTGCCAGGTTCCCCTAGCCCGAAAAAACAGTCAAAACCTATGCCTACCCCAGGGCTAAGTACAGGATGAATTTTATTGCTGAAAAAATCATGTTAGCCAAGAGCTGTATTTTAAGATAAGAATATCTAATAAAGCATAGCAGTTCCTTCAGCAGAGGGAACAGACAAAATAATAAGCAACAGATCCAAAATAAACTGCACACACAAAACAGAGATATTAGGGGTGAATCCCATATGGCTGATGTGATGGGGAACCACCATGTTCACCTTGCTCTCAAGCATCTCCAGGTGAGCGTCAGAAGCCAAATGCCAGCTGAAAGGACCTTGAACTTGACCCAGTCTGGAATTTCTATTATCTTCAGATATTCTGAGCTTTTCTCTGCATCTGCTTTCCCACATTTACTCATATAGATCATGTGATTTCTTCTTGTCTTTTCAGAACATAAGATGACAAAAAAGTTTGAGTTAGAGTCAGAAGAAGAAAAGAACAAAATAAACTACTCCTACAGTGCCATCCTTGAGAATTTCAGTCGGGAGAAAGAGGTAACTTAGATGGAAGTGTGTCGGTGGTGGGAGGTGCGGTCTAGTTCTGACGTTCGGTTCCCAGTGTGCTTCTGTCATGAGGCGAGTTTCAGCCTCTGTGGACATATTTCTCCTTCCCCAGATTCCCTGGAAATATATGCTAGCAGACTGTCAGTTTTGATGCTCTTTAATAATATTACCACAGAGTATTGGCATGAAAATGGAAAGTAATGGGAAATGATAGAATGCTAATCAGAAACAGAACCTGAAATTCCCTATTTTGCCAAAATCCAAGTCTCTGAATATCCTCCTCATCCATGTCTTCAGCTGAAGACAAAGGCCACTGATACAAACTAATCTAAGCAAGATTGGTCATGTACAACTCTCAGGAAATAAGGTAGCTCCCTGAAAGAGGTGGGTGAGTGAAAGAGTGTTTTCCTACATATAACAACAACAATAGTATTATACACAGCAGTAACAGTACTATAACTCTATTCAGGTTTCCAGACCCAATTCCAATGTGTGTGAGTATGTGGGAGGGGAGTCTTCCCACGCAATTCTCAAACACCAGCAGGGTAATGGAGAACTCAACTCAATTCTGATGCTATCTGCCCGGAGACAGCACCAGATTCCCCAGGTGAAGGGCTCTGTCCTACAAGACTGCCCTCCACCCCCCACTCCAGATGCTGGTTGCAAGCCCCAGGCATTTCGCTGTCCTTCTGACCTACGGGCTATGGATTGGGGGTTCCCACGACCTCCCCCTTTGGCTTTGATTAATCTGCTAAAGCGGCTCACAGAACTCAGGAAAACAGTTTACGAGTTTAGTAAAGGATACTGTAAAGATTACAAGCTAACAGCCGTATGAAGAGAGACATAGGGCAAGGTCCCAGATAAAGAAGCTTCTACCCTTGTGGAACTTGGGGCCTGGCTCGGAAGCCCTCTGGTTCCCCAAGCATGGACACTCTCCGACCAAGAAGCAGCATCCAAGAGAGCAGAGAGAGATAAGCTCTTCTCAGGGGTATTTGTGTTCATTGCATAGTCGTGATTGACTAAATTATTGGCCATTGGCTGATTCAACTTCCAGCCCCTGCTCTAGGGTGGGGTCCAAAAGTCTCTCATTAAAATGGCAAAACACCCATTTCACCTTTAAGACTTCAGTGTTTTTAGGAACTGTGGGTGAAGACCAAATATTCCTGGGAAATATATTCCTGGGTATGTGAATGACCAACTATGTATTTCTTATGACTCATTATACCTCAATGAGTTAACTATCCCTATTAGTCACAACCTTCATTCTGATACCAGCTTAGAATGAAAGCAGGTCTCAGACCAAATTCTACCAAACATGATGGAAAAAACATGCATTTGCAAGCAGGCCCCAAGCAGCTACACCATCAGCTCTCTGAGCTTTTAGGTCCATGAAAGGTTCATCATGCAATGGTATTACAGAGGTAGCATTCTATAACCACTGCAGTCAGCATCAGGCAACCAAATCAGGCTCTCCTAAGCAGGATGCGGGACCACTTATGGATCAAATCTAAGAGACCATCCAAATGTGCACAGGCTACAGGCTTTGTTAGATTCTGGTACCCTTTCCATGCAAAATTGAGTGTTTCTAAAATAGTATTCCATTTTTAAGAGCCCATTTCCAACCACCATGCTAATTGAAAAGCCATTAATTTTGCCAATAAAAGGCCATTTCTGGCATTCACTATATTCCTGAGCAAAATATTATATTCCTGAGCCAATCAATAATGAAGAGATGGGGCATGCCTCCCATGTGTCTAGTGCTTCTAGGGTCTAGAGCACTCAACTGTCTGAATAAGAAGTAGCAATTCCTCTAGTGGCAAGAGACTGGATATCTGCATGCATCCCCTCCTCGCTTCTATTTTCCCTGTAGTGATGCTGACTAGTGATATCTAGTGATAATTCTGTAACTGGGTACTTTCTCACTTCTGGCTCACTCTGTCTCATAGAGGCATAATTTGCACTTAGGAAATTGCAGAGATCTTAACTGTACAGTTTGATGAATTTTGACTGATGTGTACATCCATGTAACCAACACTCAAATCAAGATCAGAGCGTTTCATCAACCCAGAAAGCACTCCTATGTTCCTTTACAGTTAAGCCCAGTCTCCCTCAAACCTGTCCCAAGACAAACACTCTTGATTCCTTCTACCCTAGATTAATTTTACCTGATTTTTAACTTCATGTAAAAGGAATCATATAGTGTATGCTCTTTTGTATTTAGCTTCTTTCCCCTCAATAGAATGTCTGAAATATATCCATTTGTTGTTCACATCAGTAATTTCTTCCTTTTTACAGCTTAGTAGTTTTCCTTTGTAGAAATATCACACAATGTGTTTACTATTTTCCTGGCTTTGGTGATTTGGGTTGTTTCCACATTCTGTCCTATTTCACAAAAAAACTTCTATAAACACCCTTCTACAAGTGTTTTGTAGACATCTGCTTTCATTTCTCTTGAGTATATACTTAGGAGAGCTATTATTGAGCTATAGGGCAGATATAGGTTTAACTTCATAAGGAATTACCAGGTTATTTTCCACAGGAGTTGTACGATTTTACTCTTGAGCCTTAAATATGTGAGGATTCCATTTATTCCTTTTCATCAGCAATTAGTACTGCCAATCTTTTAATTCTGACCATTCTAATGGTATGCAGTGATATTTCATTACAGTTTTAATTTGCTTGATGACTAATAATGCTGGGCAATTTTTCGTATGCTTACTGGGCCACTTACATGTCTTCTTTTGTGAAGTGTCATTTCAAGTCTTTTGCCATTTTAAAAAACTTGGGTCATTTATTTTTTAATTATTGATACATAGGAACACTCTGTAGATTGTGGACATAAGTTTTTTGGCAGATGTATGTGTTGCAAATACTGTCTCCCAGATTGTGGTTTACCTTTTCATTTTGCTCATGGTTTTGATGTGCAGAAGTTTTGAATTTTGATAAAAGCCGAATTGTCAATTCTTTTCTTTTTAGGGTTGCAGTTTTTTGTCCTCTCTATGCAATCACTGCCTATCCCAAGAACCTGAAGATATTCTGTTTTTTTAAAGCTTTATAGTTTAAGCTTTTATGTTCTGTGATCCATTGTGAATAATTTTTGTGAGGTAAAAGTCATTGGTCATTTTTTTCCAGTATGATTGTTGAGAATCTTTCCTTCCTCTATTGAGTTGCCTTGAGTGTCTTTGTTGTATTAGGGGTGGGGGTGGGGTGAGGGGCTTGGACCCTCCATTCTGTTCCTTTCAACTCTTTGTCTATACTGAGGCCAAGACCACATTGTCTTAATTACCATAGCTTGAAATCAAGGAGTAAAAATCTTCTAACTTTGCTCTTTTTTTTTCCCAAGATGACTTGGCTTTTGTATATCCTTTGCATTCTACATAAATTTTAGAATTAGCTTTCCAAGAAAGCCTGCTGGTAGTTTAACTGGGATTGCATTGAATATAAAAATCAACTTGTGGAGAACTGAATATTCAACAATATTAAATCTGGACCCTAACAAGAAGAGCCTTTAATGAAAACATAATTTCTTTTTAATATTTGTTAAAGTGGTAAGATTGCATATAAGTAAGAATTTCAATATTTAACTTCAACACATCATGTCCTTAGTTTATAAGTGTGCTTTATTATACCAATACCTAAACTTTGGTAAATATTATATTCCAGAATCCCATTCTGGCTTTCTTAACTCTCTGAAAGAAGTGCCAGAAACCCTAATGCTGACCTTTTCCAAAGAAAATTATTTTTAGGAGCTATTGAAACAACATGAAAGGGACACCTTGCAATTAGAGGAGCTGAGAAAGGCCAAAGAGGTAAGATTTCTTATTTGTTCCTGTGGAATTAGCATTTTAAAAATACATCAGTAAAATTATATACCATCAATAAAATGGAATCTATGAGAATTTCCCCAAACCAATAAAAAAATGGAAGACCTAAAGCTGAGTTTGCTGGCTTCAACAAGTCAAAAAGAATTTTAGAACTGTAAGACAAAGCCATCTGTAAAACAAAGTCATTGGTGTCTTTTTACGGCCAGATTTCAACAACTACATGAGCAATAGTACTGCCTGATCTTCAGTGCACATGCCTTCCATTTCTGACATGGCTAAAGCCACAAAAGGGTCTTCAACTGGAAAATGCCAGATTCTTGCCTTTAGCCTCTGAAAATAGTGCCGCCTGGGAACTCCAACCCCACGCTTGAAACTCAGCATCCCTCACCATCCCCCCAACACTCCCTTCAATCCCCCCACCCCCAAACAGTCTCCTCAAGGAACTCTCTTCTTCATGGCCCTTTCATAGCGGGAAACAACTTCAGGGAAGCTCTTCAAACCCACAATCCACCTTGTGGTTTTTCTTTCACTGAGATCTTAATTTGGATCCAGAATGACATGTTTGGGAAAAGATGAGCCATTATGAAAGTATGGATGATGTACTAGGGCCCAGCCAGGGCTCCAGCATTGCTGGGCTAACAGACCAGGAAAGCCTGTGCCATCAGGGAATGGGTTTTGGGGCAAGGCAGGCCCAGTGTATCAAAAAAACCAGTTTAATGGACTTGTCAATTCATTCTATTATTTGTGTCATTTTGGGGTTTGTTTCTGTTACTTCAATCTTTTCCTCATTTACAGTCACATTTTCTTGCTTGTTTGCATGCCTGGTAATTTTTTTATTGGCTGCCAGCCATTGTGAAGTTTACCTTGCTGGGTGCTGAATATTTTTGTATCTCTTTGTATATTATTGGGCTTTGTTCTGGGATGCAGTTAAGTTACGTGGGAACAGTTTTATATTTTCAAGCCTTGTTTTTAAGCTTTCTTGGGCTGAATTAAAGCAGTCTTTAGTCTAGGACTAATATTCCTTAAACCTTTCTGAGTGGTCTACCCAATCCTCTGTGTCTCAAAAGGGTTTTCTACTCTGGCTGATGGGAATATGAGCTATTTTCAGTCTTGTGTGGGCTCCAGGGATTGAACTGCCTCTTCCATGGGTGGTTCTCTCCCCAGCCTCCAACTCCTTCTGTTTCTTCCCCTCCATCACACCTCTTTAGCAGCCCTGGACTCCTTGCTATTTCTTTAACAGGCCAAGATGCTCTGTACTGGGGTCTCTGTACTAGTATTCTCTCTTCCTGGAAAGCTCTTTCCCAGACATCCACACGGCTAACTTCTGGTCTTTGATAAGTGCCACCTTCTCAGGCACCACTTTATTTAAAGGCTCAACAACTGTTCTGCTTTTCTGCACAGATGTAAAACCATCTAATCTGATAAACTCTATGAAGGCAGGATTTTTTTGTCTGTTTATTCTATTGTTGGTGTCTAGTTTCTAGCTAGAACAATACCTGGCACAGAACAGACATGCAGTAAATAGTGATTGATTTTTTGAATGAATAAATGAGTGAGAGAATGAAAAGTGACCTGGTACAGTGCTTTGCTCATGCAGGTGCTGTGAGTGACACTACCACTCCAGTTTACACTCTTTACATGGGAAAAGCTCTGAGGACGTGTGAGAGTTAAATGGGGCTGACACCTGGAAGCAGAGACCCACTAGGTTCAATTTTAGTCTCTTCAGCATCGATCTAAAGTAGATTCTACACTTATTCCTCTGCACTTACACGGCATCCTCTATCTGCATCCTTGGTTTGTTTTCAATTTATTGTTATGGTTATTTATGAGCTCTTCTTTTATTTTTCTTATGTCTCCCGCACTAGAATGTATCTTCATAAGGGTAGAAATTATGTATGCCTTTTTATACATAATATAATAGTAGAGTTTTTTTCTAATTAAGAGATCATTTCTTTAGAGCAGTGTTAGATTTGCTGAAAAATTAAGCAGAAGTACAGAGATTTCCCTAATACTACCCCCACCACACACAAACATATCCTCTTTCCTCTGTTATTAATATCTTGCATTAGTGTACATTTGCTACAGTTGATGAACCAATATTGATGCATCATTTTAAACTAAAGCCCATAGTTTACATTAGGGTTCACTCTTTGTGTTCTACATTCTATAGGTTTTGTCAAATGCACCATGCCATGTGCCCACCATTGCAGTCTCATACAGAATAGTTTCTCTGCCCTAAAAATCCCCTGTCCTCCACCTATGCATCCCTGTTTCCCCTCCCAGACTCTGGCAACCACTTACCTTTTCATTGTCTCTCTAGTTTTGGCTTTTCCAGAATGTTATATGATTGGAATCCATAGTAGATACTTAATAAATACTAGTTGAATGAATGAATGAATGAATGACTGGTAGCTGTTGTGACAACTCATGTGAGTTCTGGGGCAGTGACAGTGAAGCAGCAGAGAATAGTATAGACAGGTAAGACATAGAGGAGTAGAATCAACAGGGCCTGGTGACTGAATGGTGCAGGAAGAGTAGCTCAAGTTGATGCTTCACATTCTAGTCCAGGAGCCCTGGAGAAGAGAATAAATGGGTAGACATCGTTTTGATGTCCTGAAACAATTTCTTCTTACACAGATCATAGAAGAAGAGTTGCATGCACAAGCTCTTAACCTAGAATCACTTAACACAACCCTCTACCATACCCAGATGGAACTCCGGAGAGAGGTGAGTCCTGACTGGAGTGGCAGTGGGAGACAGGAGGAACCCAGTTCTCTGTGCAGCTCTACTCTGGATGACTCTGGTTTGGGAAAGAGAGCCATTAAAGTTAATGTCTTTCAGAAAGCTGTGGTGGGAAATGTGGAGAAAACACTCCAGGCCAAGCTTGCTGAAGCTGAAGAAAAGTTTAAATATACCATACAGCTCCTGACAGAAGAAAACATTCATCTAAGGTGTGAATGATGCTGCTCCAAAAGACATGCCTGAGTTATCTTTAGAAAGTGGGAGGGAGTTTGGGTGAGGAATAGGTGAAGAGAAACCCAGGTATTTCTAATAAAGTCAAGGCACTGGCACTTTCAGGAGGGAGACAGTCAGCTCTGAGCCCAGCCACAGAAGTTACCTGCTAAGGTCAGACTGTTCCTTTGAAGTGGTGCTGGGAGTGTGTCTAGACTCCTCTCCCTTACCTATGTCTTAGTGTTTTTGCAAAATGACATTAGACTCATCTAAGAGTCTCTGAGTTTATTCAGTTCTGTGACTGAAGATTATTTTTGAATTCCATCTCCCCTCAGAGTTTAGATTAGGTGTCAGTGATTAACCCTTAGATGTGGCTTCATTTGGTTTCTGTGGAAATCAACTTCAGGTCAGAATTTGTACTGCTACCTGAAGATCTTAAATCACTGGAATAAATTGTGGCCACTACTTTAATAAAGGAAAGTTATTCACTGTGTTAATGTTGTAGTATAAGGCAAGAAAACTTCAGTTCTTGTTCTTTAACAGGTCTAATAATTAAGTTGATGTAGGACAGATTAATAAGAGAAAAGCTGATTTAATTTCATATGTATGAGAGCTCATAAAAATATGAGATTCAAAGAAGTAACCAAAGCAGCTTTTATATCTTTTAGACAAATGATAAATTTGTGAAAAATTGACAAGAACAAGAAGATTGGGCTTGGGGTAATAAATTAGTGAAGAAGTAACAAGGTTTCTTGATACAACCTCGGCCCTGAGTTCCCTATCACCGGTGGTAAGGATGCCCCCCTACCTCCTGGCTCATATGGGGTACTCTTCACATGGGAGATTTATCTCCTGCTTTCAGGAGGACATAGAAGCATCAGAGGGTCCTCTTTGCACTGGATGCTTAAGTAATTTTAATTCAAAATAATCAATATGCCAAATGGTATGTTTTGGGTTTACATATTTTGTTCCCCCTCATTGGGAAATTCCTCATAGGGGAGTTTAGCCACCCAAATATCTTATATCACAAAGTTCAAAACCACTGCAAGTAATGAGTGAAACTTCTCCCCAATAAAGGAATGAAACCATATTTCTCTTTCTCCAGGTAGGTGTCCATCCTACACCCCTTTCTACCCTTCTGTCTAGGGTGATATAACTTCTCTTTCTTTATAGACAAAAATTAATTGCCAAGGATGAAGAAATTTATGAAGAACGATCTGGGAGATTGACCTCTATGACTGCTTTTGAGAATGCGTCTGACATATTAGAAGATGGTAACCACAAAGGACAAGAATCATGAGCAGAAAAGCTGTTCTCTGTTGCCAAACATGGCAGGAACAGCACCTCTATAGGCCAAGAGGACGCCTTGACAAATGCATGGATGAGTTTAGTTCCTGGGCTGCCTTGATGCAGCTCTCATCATTTCACGATTTGCTTTCTTCTGTGATTGGAAATGTTTGAATTCTCATCTCAATTACATAGATTTTCATGACCCTTCATTGAAAAGTGATGACCTCTCTACCTGAAGCTGAGCTTTCCTATGGGGATTGTACCATTTTCTCTTCTATCTTTACATTTTTATTTTGAAGACACTGCTCTGAAGAACTTCTATTAAATTCTGATTATATTCCAGGGTGTACCTTTTGTTCTCTTGGGGCATTTAGCTAGCAAAAAAAGAGAATTTATTGATTTGATTCCTGAATCCTTGTCTCATTTACATGTGTTCCCATCCCCCCACCTCTCAATCATGTTCCCTAACCTGTGATTTGGGAAGAGTTTCTGATGATTCTTGCCGCCTTCTCTAAACCATTGCCAGGCAGGCAACGTAATAAGTGAAATGGGCTAGACATGGGAAAACAAGCACAGGGATAAATCATAATTGACATCAGCCTCAGCAGAGAGGTTGGGGTGGGGTGGAGGGGTGTGGGACTTGAAGGGGAGAGGGATGGGGATCCGGTGAACCCATTCTGTTGTTGTCGTACAGAAACCTGGACACAATGATTTTTTTAAAAGAAGATGTTCTGGCATTTATGTGACATCTCCCAATTTTTAAGTATATGGACAATAAATTTTTAAAAACTACAACAGTGTGAACCAACACATGAGAGGCTCAAATGAAACCCTTCTGTGATCCAAACATTCTCCATCTGTAAGATGCTGTTGGCAAAAAAACAAAAACAAAACAATCTCCAAGCAGCATAAAATACTGTTTTTTTCTATTAAAAATACTTTTTTAAAAATACTCTTACAAAATAGCTTTTAATGATAATGCCTAAAGATTTAGAACAAACTGAGTACATAAAAGGCAAGTGCAATTGCATGACAGGAGCACAGCAATGTTAGCAGAAAAGCAGATCTGTTCCTTGGTACAGAAGCTTGTATATATTCTAGAGATTTAAGAGAAAGGCTTAAAAGAGAGTTTGGAAACAGATTATAAAGAATGTATAGAACATTTTGAATTTTTGGAGATTTTTAACATAAGAAATTATATTTTTTTATTACTGTTTTAAAGAAACATAAATTAGTGTAAAGGATGGCTTGGACAGGGAGGGACCAGAAGTGCAACAAAATTAATATTCAGTTAACATCAATCCTTTCCAAATAATGTGTTTCATGATGTGCTTATGAATAATAAAAACAAGAATTATCCCTGGATTTTATGAAGTCTAGGTCCACACAGAGCCATGCTGCCTTTCAGCCGTGGAAACCAGAATCTCCTCACCTCCTCTCATCACTGCTCTCAGGAGAGGCCTGATGTGTTTCTGAGAGGGCTTATCACGCTCACAGCAGAGAGCACACTTGATGTGGGACTTCAGCACATGAGGGTTTTTTATTTAGCTGGGTCGGATCACAAAAGTCCTCCTCACTGACCTTTTAGAAGAGTCCCTGGCATTCCCCTGCATACTGTCAGACAACAAAAATCCAACTGAGTAAAGCTAGCTCCTTCAGTGACTCAGGAATTGGGCAGCATCCCATCTAGTAACAGGCGGGAGATCCACCAAGCTGCAGAAAGGGAGAAGTTCGCAAAGGCAGAAAGGGGGTGGAAAAAGGAAAGTATTCACACAGAATGCATTGTTTCAGGCGAGGTTGCCTTCCTAAGAGGAATCTTCTTACGCATTAGATTGCCCTGACTCCCCTTCCTGCCATCCCCCTCACCCCAGAAAAAAGCAAAACAGCAACATTTTAGTAACAAATAAATTAAGCATAGTGTTATGCAACTAAACAGTAGCATCAATGAAGAGGGAAGAAGAGCTTTTTTCTCAGTGTGAAAGTGGGTTGTGGCATTTGTTTCCCCATGTTTTTCCTGTCATCCTTGTTGCTTACTTCGAAGTTCACTTTGGTCAGGATGGCGAGAATGTCTTCACCCCTGCAAAACACAACATAACCTCATGACCCTCTGTAGGGGGCAACCAACTGGTAAACACGTTGGTCTGGTCTGATGTGCTCAGTGACAGTTCTTTCCTTCAGGACATTAGGCATTTGAAAAAAGTTGCTAAACCAAGACCTACCAATGCTTTCCAGATAAAAAAAAAAGTGGCCTGAGAGCCTAATAACTTTGGTTTACTTGAGATCACTATTGACCATCAGAAGCCTGTGTTGTCACCAGACTTGAGTTCTTTCCCCTCTTACATGTTTGTACCTCATTCTGCTCCATGTACTATGTCACTCCCCCTGGCCCCCATAACTGCCTCAATGCCCTCCAACATCCTCTGCCTCAAATTGAATTGCTTCTGTGCATTTGATGATGCAATCAAACTTCAGGCAAGTGCAAATCAAATGTCTCCTGCAGCCACTCCACCCCTTCCTCAGCAGCCTCTCATCAGGTTAGTCAGGCAGCCTGTTCAGCTACCTCTGTACCTGACCCTCAGAGCCTTGCAGGATTCATGGTCTGTGCCACAAAATGAAAACATAGTGTTGATGTTATGGTTCACTTCATTATCTGTCATGGGAAACTCTCACTTTCCTTTGCTTAAAGCATAATGATTTAGAACTAGAAGGAACCCAGAGAAAATTCCTTACTATTCACCTGTCAGTGTGTGTGTGTGTGCATTTGGGTGAACTGTGAATACAAAACCATCATTTAACTAAAGCGTAGAATACAATAAATAAAGGAAGGATATTTGCCCACATTTTGTGACTTCTCAGGCCAAATCAGTGGGAATAGAAAAGGTTTCTACTCTTTGGCACTTATTTCCCACAATACAATGAGGTTGGTTACTATTATAAAACTTTTGACAGAGTTGGAGGAGTCTTACTGCTTTCTTAGATGACTTCCAAAACTAGTTAAGTTCAGTCATGTTTCTGCCTAAAGACAAAGCTGGACTCCATGCCTCTACCATCCTTTCCAGCTCTATGACATTTTTTCCTCTGAGGTGCTAAATAAAGGAAACTCCTAGGGGAGTATCTGAGTTGTTTCCATTCATGAACTAAAGATACCAACCCTTGTCCTCTCTCCCACTTTGCAACTGAACTGGGAAGTACAGCTATGTGATCCACAGCTAGATAATTAGAGATGAATGAAAGGTTGAGTAGGCAAATATTACCTAGGACATCTTTCTCTCAGGCTCTGGCAAAGTGACTGGATATACCAGGTCCCCTCCATGGGGTTTCGGTAGGAAACATAGTTGTTCACAGTGGCCATCCCCAACAGAAAGTCAGCCTCATCTGGAATGTATTTCTTCTGAAATGATGAGTCCATTTCTAAACAGTCTTCCTTCTGTTTTGAGTCAGTCTCAACAGCTATACCTCTCTGGAAGTTATCCCCTTGACAGGCCTGAATAAAAAATATTTTGGGTTTGCCTGCAAGGGATGGGCACCGCAAACCAGTGAAGTAAGAGGTCAGCTCATAGATGGGGGCTTCCTGCCCATCAGAGCCATAGATGATTCCTTTGTCTCCATGGGAGAGGATGCAGCAGATGAAGCAGTCCCTGTTATTGTGGTCCATCTTTTGGTAGGATTTCAGAATCTCACAGATTTCCTTTGCTGTGGAGTCTTTGTAACACACTATCTCAAAATGGAGATCACTAAAGGTCTTACTCAAAGCCTCTGAAAAGTGAAAGAAGAAAAGTCATATTGTACCAGAATAATTCCCAAACCTCACAGCCCAGAGCTAGAGGGAACACTGATCGGATAAGAATTTGAACCAGAACTTAATAAGACCCTCTGTATTAGTTGCTGGATTCCATAGGCTTCTGATGTTTAACGGCCACTAGCTGAAAACGTTTCCCAGTCCAGAGACGAATGAGAAAGGGGAGGGTGCTATTGCTGGACTGTTGTCTTTTCTCAACTAGTCTACAATATGGGCAAGCGATTATTTAGGCTTACTACTGAACCAGCCTAAAAAATAATTGGTACTAACATAATCAGAAAAAAAAGCCCCAAAAAATGTTCAGATAAAAGATCCATACTTCAGTAGTAACATTTGTATTACTAGTACTACATAAACCTAATATTCATTAGTTATGCTTTTCTTATTAAACTTTCTGTCTTTCCTAGAATCAGTAATTGCACTAGTTTTTCATTGCTTTGTTTTCTATATGCTCAACATTATTTTTGTTCCAAATGCTCTTATAGATCTAGTCAGTCTTTCAAGTTTTTCAGGCTGCCTATCTAATTCTTTTTCTTTAAAAAAAAAAAAGTACACATTTAAGGTGTACAACAGGATGATATACATAGAGGAATGATTACGAAAATCAAGTTAATAATAAATCTTCTCATAGTTACCTTTTTGGGCGAAATTTGTGACAAGAGAACTGAAATAAACTCTCCTAGTATGTTTCTGGTATTCAACACAGTATTATTAAATGTAGTCATCAGCTATACATTAGATCTCTAGATTTATTCATGCTACATAACTACAACTTTATGCCCTTTGACCAAAAGGCCAGAAATATAATCAAATATTATTTTAATAAAAAAATTTTAATAATAAATAAATGGAAATCAAAGGCCTGAAACCGTTTCTTCAACACCAAGATGTGTGATGATGAATTATGTAGTCAATGGATTTAACCTTTGTTGCTTTTTAAAATCTTGGAATAGATTCACTTGAATAAGCAAATGTTAACAGACACCATTAACAGAGTCCTGATGATAAAAATCAGCCTACGTTAATTTTCTAAACTTTATTCAATTTAAAAAATAAGTCATTATCTGAAGTTATAACTCAGAAACACCATTTTCAAAAACTCTCTGGTCAAATAAAAATTCTTTATGTCACAATGGTTGGGTTTGATTATTTCTATTACTAGAAGGATACACAGGCAGGAAACATAGTTGTTCACAGTGGCCATCCCCAACAGAAAGTCAGCCTCATCTGGAATGTATGTCTTTCGAAATGATGTAGCCATTTAGATGTAGCCATTTCAATGTACATATGCTGCAAATTATTATTTCATTTAACTTGTAAATTCTAAATCTTAGCCTTAAAGAATTTCTGACCAGGTTAGCATTTGAAAATGTTTTTCCTAATAAGGACTCACAATTTCTGCAGTACTCATAGCCCAACTTTGGTAAGTGCAATTTCTGTAAGTGATTTTGATTCCAAGGCAGTGTTTTCACATAATACCTAACACATTCTTCAGAAGCACTATTTATTTAGCTGAATTAAAGACAAAGCTTATTGTTGCTTTTTTACTGTAAGCCTTTTAGCAAGATTTGGTATTTTATCTTTATATATACATCGCTTTGATCTTAAAAAATTCATTTAAAAAAAGACAAAGTAGAAAACTAGCAAGTATGTAAGAATGCTCTTCACCTCCACAGGGAAATACGGTCATATCCATTTTCTGAAAACGTGGCCTTGTTGGTACAGCTTTTGTTCTCCCCTTCTGATAAAAACATAGGAATTAGAAATATCTCACTTCTCTTTTGACTTCCACTGTACCTGCATCCAAGTGTGTTCCATTCCTGTCCTTAATGCTCTGAAGTTTGGGTACATCCTTTCGTGCTATACTAAAATCATAATTGTTGAAGATTAAACAATAACCTCGTGGTTTGCTTTTCATCGGGTAAACTTCGATTGATACCTGGAAAACAAAAATCCTGCTGACTCTTTGGGTCAAACACTTGAGATGTGAACAAACAACTCCTTCAGAGGAGATTAGGCCGTTCCCTTAGCCAAACTGGGACACAAGCACACGCTCACTGGCTCCACCCCAACTAGAAGTTGTCTGACAACTAGTTTCCACCATTCCTCTCACTGGGCATCCCTAGGCTTCTGCCTCACAATTAGTGTTTAAGTCAGTGTCCCAGTACCTGGGCCTCCTAAGCACTTTGCACTATATTGATATTGTTGTCCTCATAATATATTTTCACTGTTTGTTCTCAGTGCTGTTCAAGGGAGGTAACACCTGTGCCAGGAACTAGGATTTATTAATTTGTAAGAGCTCAGTTATCTCAAAATGGAGATCACTAAAGGTCTTACTCAAAGCCTCTGAAAAGTGAAAGAAGAAAAGTCATATTGTACCAGAATAATTCCCAAACCTCACAGCCCAGAGCTAGAGGGAACACTGATCGGATAAGAATTTGAACCAGAACTTAATAAGACCCTCTGTATTAGTTGCTGGATTCCATAGGCTTCTGATGTTTAACGGCCACTAGCTGAAAACGTTTCCCAGTCCAGAGACGAATGAGAAAGGGGAGGGTGCTATTGCTGGACTGTTGTCTTTTCTCAACTCGTCTACAATATGGGCAAGCGATTATTTAGGCTTACTACTGAACCAGCCTAAAAAATAATTGGTACTAACATAATCAGAAAAAAAAGCCCCAAAAAATGTTCAGATAAAAGATCCATACTTCAGTAGTAACATTTGTATTACTAGTACTACATAAACCTAATATTCATTAGTTATGCTTTTCTTATTAAACTTTCTGTCTTTCCTAGAATCAGTAATTGCACTAGTTTTTCATTGCTTTGTTTTCTATATGCTCAACATTATTTTTGTTCCAAATGCTCTTATAGATCTAGTCAGTCTTTCAAGTTTTTCAGGCTGCCTATCTAATTCTTTTTCTTTAAAAAAAAAAAAGTACACATTTAAGGTGTACAACAGGATGATATACATAGAGGAATGATTACGAAAATCAAGTTAATAATAAATCTTCTCATAGTTACCTTTTTGGGCAAAATTTGTGACAAGAGAACTGAAATAAACTCTCCTAGTATGTTTCTGGTATTCAACACAGTATTATTAAATGTAGTCATCAGCTATACATTAGATCTCTAGATTTATTCATGCTACATAACTACAACTTTATGCCCTTTGACCAAAAGGCCAGAAATATAATCAAATATTATTTTAATAAAAAATTTTTAATAATAAATAAATGGAAATCAAAGGCCTGAAACCGTTTCTTCAATACCAAGATGTGTGATGATGAATTATGTAGTCAATGGATTTAACCTTTGTTGCTTTTTAAAATCTTGGAATAGATTCACTTGAATAAGCAAATGTTAACAGACACCATTAACAGAGTCCTGATGATAAAAATCAGCCTACGTTAATTTTCTAAACTTTATTCAATTTAAAAAATAAGTCATTACCTGAAGTTATAACTCAGAAACACCATTTTCAAAAACTCTCTGGTCAAATAAAAATTCTTTATGTCACAATGGTTGGGTTTGATTATTTCTATTACTAGAAGGATACACAGGCAGGAAACATAGTTGTTCACAGTGGCCATCCCCAACAGAAAGTCAGCCTCATCTGGAATGTATGTCTTTCGAAATGATGTAGCCATTTAGATGTAGCCATTTCAATGTACATATGCTGCAAATTATTATTTCATTTAACTTGTAAATTCTAAATCTTAGCCTTAAAGAATTTCTGACCAGGTTAGCATTTGAAAATGTTTTTCCTAATAAGGACTCACAATTTCTGCAGTACTCATAGCCCAACTTTGGTAAGTGCAATTTCTGTAAGTGATTTTGATTCCAAGGCAGTGTTTTCACATAATACCTAACACATTCTTCAGAAGCACTATTTATTTAGCTGAATTAAAGACAAAGCTTATTGTTGCTTTTTTACTGTAAGCCTTTTAGCAAGATTTGGTATTTTATCTTTATATATACATCGCTTTGATCTTAAAAAATTCATTTAAAAAAAGACAAAGTAGAAAACTAGCAAGTATGTAAGAATGCTCTTCACCTCCACAGGGAAATACGGTCATATCCATTTTCTGAAAACGTGGCCTTGTTGGTACAGCTTTTGTTCTCCCCTTCTGATAAAAACATAGGAATTAGAAATATCTCACTTCTCTTTTGACTTCCACTGTACCTGCATCCAAGTGTGTTCCATTCCTGTCCTTAATGCTCTGAAGTTTGGGTACATCCTTTCGTGCTATACTAAAATCATAATTGTTGAAGATTAAACAATAACCTCGTGGTTTGCTTTTCATCGGGTAAACTTCGATTGATACCTGGAAAACAAAAATCCTGCTGACTCTTTGGGTCAAACACTTGAGATGTGAACAAACAACTCCTTCAGAGGAGATTAGGCCGTTCCCTTAGCCAAACTGGGACACAAGCACACGCTCACTGGCTCCACCCCAACTAGAAGTTGTCTGACAACTAGTTTCCACCATTCCTCTCACTGGGCATCCCTAGGCTTCTGCCTCACAATTAGTGTTTAAGTCAGTGTCCCAGTACCTGGGCCTCCTAAGCACTTTGCACTATATTGATATTGTTGTCCTCATAATATATTTTCACTGTTTGTTCTCAGTGCTGTTCAAGGGAGGTAACACCTGTGCCAGGAACTAGGATTTATTAATTTGTAAGAGCTCAGGAGCTGCTGAGTTAATGAATGTCTTAGTGTTGCCTCTGGGCTGCCCCTCCGTGACCTCACGATTCCCCTTGGCCATCTACTCAATTCATCCAGGCTTCCCGGATAACAGCTGAGAGCCTGCCCTTCACACATGACACAGTGTAGCCCCAGGATTTTCAAAACTGCGGACTGAATTCGGCGTTCAGGACCACAGCGCCTGTAGGAGAGAGCCGCGCTGCAGGCTACAGTATGCAGCCTTTAATACACTGTCAGTCAGAGTGGACCCTATCCTCCCGCTTCTCCCCCAGCTGTTTCAGTTCTGAGATACTCAGATTTTATTGAGAAATCCCTGCAGCTCCTTGAGGTGAGAAAAGGGCTCTGGGCTAAGGGGCCAAATTCCTAGCTCTATTAGCCTTAAGAATTTGTGCAAGTTACCTAACGTCTCTCTCTCTCGGTATGATTAGCTGCTCAGTGGGGGAAGAAGCTTGCAGGGTTTGCAAAGTGCCACGAGACTTCAGTTAATCCTTGATTTTCTGACGGAGAGCCTGATAACTTGCTCAGGAGCCCACTAGTAAACGGTCTCTCTCAAGCTTAATTTCAGTTCTCCCCCTGGACACATAAGTGTTCAGGGTTTCTTCTGGTTCCCAGAGGAGAAATGGGCTACTGAGTCAGGAAGTGTTGGTGAATTGTTAAAAGTTACATAAACAGAAGTGAACGTGTCTAGAGGGACAATTCTTGTGCTGGCTCACTAAGACGAGAGTGCAGACGCAGCTAGATTATGAGCGCCTGCTGCCTACACCCCAGGAGAAACCGTTCTGAAACGCCAAGCCCAAAGAACAGGCTTTTCTTTTTCCAGTGCCGCTGGATGGACGCTTTCCCCCAAGCCCTCTCTCGCTGAAGCAGGTGCAGCTGCTGAAAGGATCACGTAGGAGGCTTCTGACTCATTAGCCCATGTACTCCTCTGCGGGGTGGGAACCAGAAGAAACCCCGAACTGTTATGTGTCCAGGGGGAGAACTGAAATTGAACTTGAGAGACACCGTTTATTAGTGGGCTCCTGAGCAGGGTATCAGGATCTCCGTCAGAAAATCAAGGATTAACTGAAGTCACGTGGCACTTTGCAACCCCTGCCTCTTGACACTTCCAATGCCTTTGTCTTCGTCTTTCAAATAAAAATGTAACACATAGGAAACCACAGAGACCACATTTTTAAAATTAAAGTCACATTTTAAACGTGTCCTTTTGTGAATTTCTTCTACAGTTCTCCCTATTGTCCATGAGTTTCTGCCCCTTGTTAGTTTCCCTGGAAGCTAACAGGCCTCGGGAATGTAACAAGTAGAATCTGCAATGCAAAGAGAACAAAGAATTGGCATTTCCACAAACCTGGGACTCACTGTCGGGTACTCCTGGAGAGTCTAACATTGGCAGCTCTTCAAATAATTTTTCCTTCATGAAAAATTGAGACAGATCTGGAATGAGACACAGAAGGGAAGATATGCTGGTAAAGAAACATGTAGCACAGAGGACAAAATAAGGTCCTTTTTAAACTGAAAATTCACAGACTGCCCTGAACACAGTATCCTTGCTGTCCACACAATAAGTAAAAATCTTATTACTAACTCTGCACCTACTTCAGACTTGTCGGCTTGGGGTTGCAGGTTCTGACTCTTTTGACAACTATTTTTACATCTTTCAATGTGTTGAGAAGGTGGCAAGTAGGCACTGAGCCTTCCTCCTGACATTGGGAGAATGACATGAGGGCCATTAAGATTTGGATGCCGTTACAAAGTTGTAGAGAGGAGGCAATGAGTAAATTAAATAAATCCTGAAAATACCGCTTTAAGCATTACCATTGGAAAGTTCATCTGGACTTTTTTCAAGGCTCGTTCTTCTTTCTGAGTTAAAAAAAGAAACACACACAGATTAGAAAGGACTGTGACAGAGGGATTTGTTGATTTAAGAATGCTTACTGTTGAGGTACAGCTGTCAGGGTATTTCTACCTCTGCTCAATTCTTCATAGTCATTGATTTTCTTCAGCAGACTCTTGTTGACTTGGTCACAGATTTTTCTTAGGGTATCCAAATTTCTTTCCCCTAGAATAACCCTCTTCTCCATCTCTGTGAAAATGTCAAGCATGTTCTAGAGGGAGAAGAAATAAAGTTCAAGACTGGATTGAGCCATATTTGCTTTAACTTAGCTTTTTTTTTACTTCTACTTTCTCCAAACCAAGGGCCCACACTAGCTTCCCAAGCTGACCCTCTGAGAGGACATCCCAGTCTTATAAATTCAGTGAACTATGAGGGAAGCAAGTCTGTTTTCTGGCCCAGAAAAACAGTAAAGAGAAGATGGAGGAGAAGCCACATCATACATCCCCCAGTCCCCAGTCCCCAGGTGCCAGGCCCTGCATTGAAACCACCTGTGGATACCTTTATGTGAAGACTGGGATGGAGCCCAACATGCATGGCTGAGACACAGCAGCCTTGCCCCCACAAGAGCAGCCCCGGGGACTGCCTCATGCCCAACAGTGCCTGTGGCACCCAGTCCATCTCCAGACCTGAGTTCACACACATGCAGACACACACAAACACACTACACCACACCACACGCGCGCGCGCACACACACACACACACACACACACACACACACACCACAGTTTCAGGTCCCAGGTTGTTTCAGACACAGGGAAAGCAGGAAAAATGGCTCTGCAGAGTCCCACATTGGTCTCTGTTCCCACAACCAGCCTTCTTCTTGCTCCCAACTCTGCCCTGCTCCTGACAATGTGAGTAGCACTTCATAGTATACAAAGGAATCCTATCTATATCACTCATGCCTAACAGCTTTCTGCTTCTCCCCTGGTTAAAAGGTGAGAATCCTGGTGGCTCTGACTGCATTAGCCCTCGCTTCAGTCTCAGAAATCCCCACTGGCTGACTCATCTCCAAGAGAAAATCTTGGTGAGACACCAGGTCTTACCATGTCATCATCCAGTTTACATTTGGAAATCTTCTGGCTCAAAAGGAACTTAAAGGACCTCAATTCCAGTTTGCTTACATCTTCTGAAATCTGAAAAAGCATGACCCTGTGGTGATAAATGGAAACACTTTAGAAATGCTTTCTTAAATAATTACCTATTTTATACATAGAGTCACAGTGGACTGGATTCCAATGTGCTCCTTTTAAAATAAACCTAGCTAATGCAATGATTTATGGATTGACTCCTTGGAAAGGGGCTGGTGTAGTGACAGAACTACTGACTCAAGCCCAACTCTTTCACCCTTAAAGGAATTTGAAGTTCCACTAACTGTCATTCAGTTAATTTCAGTTAAATTAATCATATTTTTCCTTTGTCCTTTATTATAAAGTCAAGATCTTGCTGCAACAGAAAGAACTTTTGATTTTGGTAACTATGCTTTTCAAAATGCAATTTGGATCATCATTTCCTTAATTAAGACTGGTCAGCATTCTCCCAACCTTACACTTGGTTCTGGAATCCAGACCTTTGTGAACTGAGCCCAGCCTACCTCCTTGTCTTCTCTGGCCATTTCTCACCAACACCCCCCATTTTCCCTCTAAATACACCCAGCTCCTCCAACCCCTCCCCATTCTCTCTTGCAGACAGCCCCTCACCCACTAGCACTGCCCAAGTGTCCTCAAGGCTGTATTCATCCCATTGTGCCTTTGCAACACTGAAGGTGAGGCAAGCAACAGAGAGATGCAGACAGAGTTCAGGACCCATTTAAGTTTCAAGTCCCTTGTAAGCTTCAAAAAAACTCCAACCAGCACTAAACTATGTTTTCTACCTTTATCTTGCATCTACCTACCACTTCAGCATTTTATTAAAAA